GTATAGATGAATTGCTAGTTAGGAATGAATTAATCATAGCAATGGCATGTTACATAATACTATGTAATGACTCCCTTACATTTTTAGGATACTTGAGAGATATTCCCAAAAATCTGAAACCCACACACTTATTCTACATTTAGCCATTTGTATTCATTGCGGAGTGGGGGTGGGTGGGATTAATACTATGTGTTTTGTATTCTATAATTACAAGTGAAAATATCTATAATTTCCAGGCTATCATAATCAGATCACAATGTTCCCATGTTCGCTAAAAATAACGTCATTTATGTAATGGTCATCCCATTACATATGGATAGTATTTCATGATAGTCTGCTGTGGGAAGGCAGAGTGTTTCATTCCTCTTTTTCTATGTACCTTCTATTTAACAAAAACAGTGGTAAAATCTTGGTGAACCAAAAGCCCTGAGTAAAGCTACATTTTATAGAATAGGCTCTCAATGTTCCAAGTTGTTTCATTTTGAAAGGATTATTACCCCCGGTAAAGCGATCCGCCAATCAACTAACAATCTGGTTCCTACTTAATGAAAGGTGAACAGAAACTGTTTGTGGGACACCACTGTGTGCAATTGGCTGCTGCGTTTCAATTCACAAAATGTACAGTCAATTCACTTGTATCCTATGAAGAGCTTTGAGATGTCTCAAAGAAGTGATAGGCGCTATATCAAATGCAAGAATTATTATTATTATTATTAAAAAATTATATTTGTATTTCTTTTTTATTTTCATTCAATCGTAGACAATTCTCTCTCTGAAGGCAAAGCAAGTAAATGGCTAGCAATCTCCTTCACAACTTGAGATACATTTACAAATAGTTACTATCCTTGGGGCAGATGGAGAATTTCTTTGGGGCTATGCTGGTTTGAAGATGATATGTCTGGCAATGGAATATTGAAGTCTAGTCTATTCTCTGTAGTGGTCCTGGTCATCTGGTTTCTGAGACAGGCAGGTCTGCAGTACTCCAAGGCACTGTTGATTGATCAGCCATCATCAACAACAACAAGATTACATTTTTATAGCGCTTTCACGTCGGGAGGACGTCCCGAGGCGCTGAACAGAGTACAGCATTTCAGACCCAAGCTGGGGTCGGGGGTGGGGGGAAGGTGGGTGGGGAGGGGAATGGGGGTGGCCAGCTGCATAGTCGAAGAGGAAGGTCTTGAAGGAGGCAATTCAGGAGGCCAAGTGGAGTGACTGGGGGATGGAAATCTAGAGGTTGGGGGCAGAGTGGCTGAAGGCTCTCCCGCCAATGGTGGAGCGGGTGGGTCGGGGGATGTGGAGCAGGCTGGAGACAGCTGAGCGGAGGGAATGGGCGGGTTGGTAGGAGGTTAGGAGGTCGCAGATATAGTGTGGGGCGAGGCCATGGAGGGCTTTGTATATGAGGGCCAGGAACTTGAACTGGATCCTCTGAAGGATAGGGATCCAATGGAGTTGAGCGAGATTGGGGGGGGTGAGGTCACAGAGTTTGGTGCGGGAGAGGATATGGGCTGCAGAGTTCTGGATTATCTGCAGCCTGTGGAAGGAGGAGTTGGGAAGGCTGACAAGCAGGGCGTTTGCATAGTCGAGCCTGGAGGTGATGCAGGCATGAACAAGGGTTTCAAAGGCCTGGGGGTGGAGTCAGGCAATGTTACGGAGGTGAGGGAAGGCAGAGCGGGTCATGACTTGAATGTGGGGGAGAAAGGACAGTTGAGGGACGAACAAGACACCTGGGTTCCTGACTGGCTTGGTGAGTTGTAGTGTGCAACCATGGAGGTTGATGTTGCCAGAGCCTGAGGTGCTGGCGTGAGCCAATCAGAAGGGCCTCAGTTTTGTTCACATTCAACTGTAGGAAATTTGCCCTCATCCAGGACTTGATGTCCTGGTTTATTAGCAGGTTTTGGAGTAGCAAATCAGTTCCTAGGGGCTGAGTTTCTTCCCAGCTTTTCATGTTAACCTAGATAAGTGGATAAGTGGTCTTAAGTTAAGTTAGCAGTAGTTTAATGCACCCACTGGGGTCACCAACCTGCACCTAACCTCTCTGAGGTTAATTAAAATGAGTGGTTCCTCTGGGGAGAGATTGCGTACTCCATACCAGACAAGAGAAAATGCTGTAAATAAAGCTGACACTTCTATGCAGTCCTGCAGCACTCCGAGACACCGCCTGGCGTGAAGGGCGCTATAAAACTGCAAGTTGCTGTTGTTGTCATTGCAGAGGTGCCGTTCTTTGGATGAGATGTTGTGCTTCGGATGAGGTGTTAAACCAGGGATGGGCAAAATACGACCTGCGGGCCATATCCGGCCCGCCAAATTATTCTATCTGGCCCGTCATTGTATCTAGCAATAGAAAAAATTAGTTTGTTCAATCCCGGAAAGTCACATAAATTTTGCATGTGAATCAGACCGGGAACATCAGCCAATCACACTGCTTAGTTGTGCGCACGTTGTCTTAAGTGTTGAATCAAGCTGACGTCAGAAATGTACGGATTGTCAAATTTTCAAACACACGTGCGGCAACCACGGCAATGCTTTTCGCTGAAGAGGACGTTATTTTGAAATGAGTTTATCAAAGAAGCAGAAAGCGGACACTGAAGGCTGAATATTCAACAAAGAATGGACTTCTAAATATTTTTTTACCAGTGAGGGTGGAAAATAAAACAAATAAATGAAAATAAATTAAAAAATAAAATAAAGAAAACAAAAACAGTGTGCAGTTACAAAATAAAGTAAGCAATGTTGCATGTTTTCCACTGGCACTCAATGAGAGTTGTGATCTCAAAGACATAGCCCAGTTAATAATTTTTATTCGAGGTATTACCAAACATTTTGAGCTCACAGAAGAATTGGCATCAAGGTAGTCAATGAAAGATATGACAACTAGAGAAGACTTTTTGGAAGCAGTAAATAAGTGTATCTTAAAATTAGGAGTGGCGTGGAAAAAATTGGTGAATGCGACCACCGATGGAGGCCCAAATCTGACAGGCAAAAATGTTGGGTTACTGAAAAGAATTCAAGATCAAGTCAAAGAAACAAATCCAGAACAGAATATTGTTTTTCTACACTGCATTATCCACCAAGAGGTCCTCTGTAAGAGTGTTCAAAACTAAGCAATGTCGTGGACACAGTTACGAAAGTGGTCAACTACATTCGAGCAAGAGGATTAAACTACAGGCAATTTGTAATCTGCTTGAGGAATTGGAATCCGAGCACAAGGATGTTCTGTATCACACAAATGTAAGATGGCTAAGTTTAGGAAAGGTCTTGAAAAGAGTGTGGGAACTGAGAACAGAGATTAATTTATTTTTGGACATGAAACAAAATGATTCGGGTTACCCACAGCTGAATGATGTGAATTGGCTCTCTGATTTCGTATTTGCCTTTGATATCATGGACCACATGAATGAACTGAATTCAAAACTGCAATGAAGGGGGTCTTTGTGCACGATTTGTATTGTAGTGTCAAGTCATTTATGATGAAATTATTTCTTTTATCGCATCAGATAGGAAACAGGCAGTTCGCCCACTTTCCAACTTTGCAGCAGATTACTGTTTGCGATCAAAGCCTTAAAAAGTATAGCTCATCACTACCCCAAAGGGCTGTTGACGCTCAGTCCTTGAACATATTCAAGACTGAGATAGATATATTTCGTATTGCAAAAGAGATTAAGGGATATGGGGATAAGGCAGGGTTATGGTATTAGCTGGAGTTAGATTAGAAGATCAGCCATGATTGAATGGCGGGGCAGGCTCGAAGGGCCGAATGGCCTACTCCTGCTCCTACATGTTATGTTATCTTATGACTTACATGCTGAATTTTCTCGCCGATTCCAGAATTTCAATTTGATCTAAAATGACCTGTCTTTGGTCTCTTCATCTTTCTCATTTGATGTTGACAAAGCCCCATTTGACCTCCAACTCAAGCTTATTGACCTGCAATGTGATCCGTTGCTTGCGAGCAATTCAAATCAGTGCCGCTTTCTGGTTTTTACGCCTCCCTTAATGAATATACCTTTCCAAAAATAAAGGCTCATGCCCGGAGGATGCTTGTGCTGTTTGGATCAACATACATATGCAAGGAGACATTTTCTGTGATGAAATTCAATAAATCAAAGCATAGATCTGTGATGACTGATGACCACCTTGCAGCAGTACTCCGCATTGCCACAACGGAGACGATGCCTGACTTCAATTGTTTGGTTAACGCACATCAGGGCTTTCATTCTTCCCATTGAGTGAGCTTCTCACATTCTCATCAATGTGTGAATAAATGAATAAATATCGAATAAATGACGGCTCAATGAGTTGTTTTTATTTAACCTCATTTTAATGAATATCAATTATAGACTTTATTTTATGAATGTACAAGTGTAAGACTTGATTTGGAGCTATTATTAAGCATTTGCATCTATATTAAGTGTGTGGCCCGCGAAGCTTACCAAAACTCGTGAAGTGGCCCGGCAGCCAAAATAATTGCCCACCCCCGTGTTAAACCGAGGTCCTGTCTGCCTATTCGGGCGGACGTTAAAGATCTCATGGCACCGTTGAACAACAACATGCAGTTATATAGCGCCCCTAACGCTGGGTATTCGAAAAGAGACGGGCGTTTCTCCTGGTGTCCGCGCCAACAAATTCCTCCAAAATAAAACCGGTCGCTCACTCCATAGCGGTTCGTGGGAGACGGCGCTGTACGCCAACGTGGCGACCGCATCTCGCCCACAAAACGACACAGTCACCGTCCCCACTGTAAAGTATATCCTGGGAATGGCTTTGAGACGTCTCGACGATGCGATGAGGCGCAGGTAACGTGGTTGTGACTGTTATGAATAGCTGTGGGAGTGGATGTGGTGCGCAGCGCCGGTTGGCAGCCGCCCAGTTCAGGGTGTGTGGTGACCCGGGGGGTGGGGGGTGGGGGGGGGGGTGGGGGGGGAGGTCGAGCAGCCCCTCCCCCCCACCCCCGGGAGCCCAACCAGACCGGACTACACTACCCGCCATGCACCGCTCCACAGCCGGGAAACAGGGCGGAAAGCGCGGAGCTCCGCGCTGAGAGAGAGCCGCCAATCAGTTTAAACAGCAGAGCAGCGCCTCACCACAGGGAGAGGGCGAGAGGATGAGCAGAGCCGCTCCGGGGGAACCAGACAAACCCTGAGCACAGGGAGGCCCCGGCTCCGGCTTAGCCACAGGGCGGGGAGGCCCGGCCAGGCCCCGGGCCCCGGGACTGGGTGTGAGCGAACCCCGGGCTTCGGGCCTGAGCCGGTCAGCGGGCTGTGTGCCGCCCCCCCCCCCCCCCGGGGCGGAGCGAGCGTAAGCGAGTCCCGGGCTTCGGGCCTAGAGCCGGTCACCATGACTCTGGCCCCCAAAGAGCTGACCAACCTGATCAGCATCATCTCGGAGGAGGCGACGAGCACCACCTTCGAGGGCCTGTCCACCGCCTTCCACCATTACTTCGGCAAACAGGAGCACTTCCGCCTGGGCTCGGCGCTGGTCATGTTGCTGCAGCAGCCGGACCTGCTGCCCAGCCCCCAGCAGCGCCTCACCGCCCTCTACCTGCTCTGGGAGATGTACCGCACCGAGCCGCTCGCCGCCAACCCCTTCGCCGCCGTCTTCGCCCATCTCCTGAACCCGGCCCCGGCCGTGGAGGAGCAGGAGAAGCAGCTGCTGGGTACGTGGGGTCAGCCCCGTCTGGGGTCTGGCAAAATGTTAATTAATCGTGATTATTATTATTATTATTATGATGATGATGATGGTAATGATCATCCCCCGCGCCTTGTCACGTCTTGCGCACCTCTCGAAGCGCTTCGCAGACTGTACTGTAAAGTGTAGTGACTGTGTACTTTGGGGGGTGAAAGGCAGCGGCCAATTGCGCACAGCGGCGACCCACAAACAGTTGTGGATTGAGTGACCAAATTTATCATTTGAAGGGTTATTACCCCCCCACCCCCACCCCCAGGAAAGCGATCCGCCCATCGACTAATAACTGGGTCCCTCTTTACCGCTGGGTAAGCAGAGGCGTGTGGAGTGAGGAAACTTGCCTAAGGTTACGCCCCGCCCGGGAATCAAGCTCGGGTCCTCTTGCTTTCGAGGCGAGCGCGCTAACCGAGTGACACTTTGTGACAAACTGACTGCAAAATATTAATCATAATAATAATCCTTGCATTTGATATAGTGCCGGACCGCGTTATTGAAGCGTCTCAAAGCGCTTCCGAGGATGCTAACGATAAAAGCTAACCGTAATTACACATTGTCATTCAAAGTTATAATAAGAATCAGTAATTGGTGCCCTCAGCATCCGATATTTAAGATATTAGTCATGAAAAAGTAATAACAATAAGCCTTCCATTAGTTGGAAATGATTGACAAACTGTTAGTCAGGACCCTTTTTATTTCTTTAATTTCTTTTGCGGTTTGTGTATGTGGGAATATAGGAAATACTGCAGTGTGAATTTTTTCTGGTGGCCAATGCAAGGTTCCTAGTTCTTCTGGTCTGTTGCTTCATTTTGCTGTATACAGTACTATGAAAAGCTAAGCACAATTGAAGCATTGGAAATCTGGCGTTGCTTTCTGAAATAGATATGTCAGTACAGCATAATGGTGAACATGCAAAAGTTCCATGCCACAGTACAGCCATAGTTCAATGTAAAAAAAACTTGCCTTTAATTACAGATTTTTGGTTATTTAACTGCATTACATATAAAACTTGCTTGGTGCCAGAGCTTTGAAATTGATTCCTGCGGGGATTCCTGCAGCAAAACATTCCACTCCTGGAGGCAGTGTCATCACTCAGTCGTACAGTTGGGGCATCATACCTTCTAACTCAGAATTAAGCTGTGTAGCAACATTAAAATATGAAAATAATGGTTTTTTTAAGTATCTGCCAACGTCAGCATTAGTAATGACTGATTAATATTTTACATGGAATGATGCATTTCTGGTGTTAATAGAATTACTGTTTTGTACGCGTATTATAGCAGTAGGATATTATGTGGTAGGAAACAAAATCATATATGACGGTGCGATTTAAATGTATATCTCTGTAAAATAGTTTTGTTTTTGGCAAATTATTTTGAAGAGCACCTCCAATGCAAGTATTACTGCAGAGATTGCAGCCTATAAATATAAAACTATTCACAGAATTTGAGAACCTGCAAATTTCAATAATTACCCATTTCTTATGTCTGCTTTAGTGTATTGCTTGATCTTTCATAGTGGATTTGTCTAATGTTTGAATAAAGTCCATGCTGAAGCTTGATTTATTTGTGCTTTTGACAGGTTTCTTACCACCTATTACTCCTCCAGAGAAGTTTTTTCTGTCTCAGTTGATGTTGGCTCCTCCGAGAGAGCTGTTCAAGAAGACTCCTCGACAGATAGCATGTATGGATGTGGGAAACATGCCTCAGTCTGTAGACATTAGTGGTCTGCAATTGGCTTTGGCGGGTGAGTTTGCTTTAAACTTTCAACAGCATGTTGAGCTGAGGGTACTTTTAGTACAAGAGTTCTGAATTATACTCAGTTTACAAACACAAATGTACCCTTGCAGGTTGAACCATCAGCAGCCGTACCTCCACCATCGGCAGATGTGCTTTCAGTTACTACACCCCAAAGCTCTGGAACTCCCTCCCTCAATCTTGACGCTCGCTCCCCACATTCAAATCCTGCCGAAAGACCTTCCTTTTTGATCGTGCTTATGGTCACTTCCGCCCCTCCCTCTCCCCCTGGCTCGGGATCAGACTCCGCCATGGTCAAGTGCTATCCTGCGTGAAGGCGCTATATAAATGCAAGTTGTTGTTGCAAAATCCAGCCCACACATGGATTGTAGATTATTGCAGTTACACACTCATTTAGGAATATTAGCTGGAATGGAGTGTAGATGTGTGTCACTAGAATAATAGATCAACAATAATGGATACCGAAATTAATTGGCACTGAGTAAGATACAAGAAACAAGCTCTAAGCCTTCTGTGTTCCCTCAGTAAATTTCTATTTTTAAAATCTCGCTGCATTACATCCTCTGTACTTTCCATTTGTATGGCCTTTTACATTCTTCATAAAGTTGATTGCCCAGAACAATCCCCCAAAATCGCTCGCTCCATGGCTGTTTGTGGGACATCGCTGTGCGCAAACTGGCATTACGCCCACAAAACACACTACACTTTACAGTATACTCTGTGAAGTGCTTTGAGATGTCTGGAAGATGTGATAATGCTCTATATCAAATGAAAGGATTATTAGTATTATTTACAGTATATCCTGTGAAGTGGCTTGATACATCTCAACGACGTGAAAAGGCCACTATATCAAATGCAAGGATTATTGTTATTTCAAGAAGGACCAGAATCATGGATTCCGGACCAGAACGACCGGAATTTATACAGGACCAGAAACCATGATTTGTATAAATTCCCATAACCTGAGTTTTAGAAGTTAATGGTCAACACAGAAGTTAGGTTATTATCTTAAAAGGGAATATTGAGTATCAGCCTCCTACATTCACACAAAAAACAGAATTTGAACTCAACATGTTTTATAATTGCTTTATATATTCTAGATAGACTCCTTTTCAATCTGTACTGCAGCTCTAACAATTCTTAAATGTTTTGGTACTGAGGTGAGGTATGAACCAATTGATAACACGAGTAATAGTACACATTTTATATTGCGATGCTGCTGCCGTGTTGGCTGGTTTTTTTTGCGCGATTAATTTTATAGATTTGTCATCATTATGTGTAATATTTTGTTCATTCTGCAGAGCGCCAATCTGAACTGCCAACACAAAGCAAAGCTAGTTTTCCCAGCATCCTTCCTGACCCTGATCCAGATTCCTCCAACTCTGGATTTGACAGTTCTGTTGCAACGCAAATTATAGAAGCTTTAGTGAGTGGGCCAAGGCCACCAATAGAAAGTAAGTACAGTAATTTGTTTGAATTTAAACTGATGTATCAATAAAGCTGAACACTTAGAATGTTTGACTCCCATTCTCGGCACTTAGTTCTGATGCCTGTCTTTGCATTTGTCCGGGCGGCAGATCATGATGGTTGTGCTTAGCCAGGCTAGTTGTACCGATAATACAATTGATCTCATTGCCGAACGGCTATAGTGGGGAAGAAATTGGTATGGGTTCCAGCTTTCTTTTGCTAGCCTGCTGAAAAATGCATGTGGAGGCAGGATCTGAGTTGATTATGAATTGCTTACTGACGGTTTAAGTTTGCACATGAAGACTGACCACTTGGAGATACTAGAGTATCTGTGGAACCGTATCCAGCATGAGGGAGCATGTTTAGAGTGAATCAGTCTTTCCCATTGATTGCTATTCAGTCTCATTAAAAGTTGTACTTAACCGTACACATTATGATTGTGCATTTTCAAGGTGTACACAATTGGAGTCACGTGGAGAGGACACGTGGAGTCCTGTAGCTCAGTGGTTAGAGCACTCGCTTTGCAAGCGAGAGACCTGAGTTCAATTCCAGGCAGGGCGAAACCTTGGGCAAGTTTCCTTACTCCACACGCCTAATAATAATCCCTCCAAAACCAAAAACAATAATAAATTGGTCATTTTCAATCTACGACTGTTTGTGGGACATTGCTGTGCGCAATTGGCTGCCGCGTTCACCCACAAATATATAGTCAATTCACTTTACAGTGTGTTCTGTGAAGCGCTTTGGGACGTCCCCCCGACGTGAAAAGCGCTATATCAAATGCAAGGATTATTATAATTGGCCATTCACACTAAATCTCTCTCTTGTACGCAAGATGTCATTAGCAAGTCCAGCTCCTTGCTATCTAGCAGTTTAATATTGCTTCAGATTGTACAGTGCGTTGTGTGATCACTTTTCTAATACATGTGTGACCTAGTATGTTCTTGAAAGGAATAAACATTAAAACAAATTAAGTGGACCCAATAGAGCTAATAGATTATTTACTGTTAAATGAAAGGAATAAGGAATATTAATTGGAATGTATGGTCACTTCATTGCTTCTCTGTTTTAGTTGAAATATCTTTTTAACTTGAGTGACTACAGATTAAAAATGCTGCATGTTTCTTCAACTCCTAAAATCAAATAATGTGAACCTTTACAAAAAAAACTTGGCAGAACTGTTTGCATTTTATCAAACACCTTCTCATATTTTTAACAAGCAATTTTATTTTCAAGACATGTTTCTTTTGATTGCAGAATATGAAGGTTAGATAACAATTAATCCTCAAATAGACAACTGCAGTTAAGTTCTCATTTCTCTTTCTTCCAGGTCACTTTCGTCCAGAATTTATTCGTCCTCCTCCTCCACTTCATGTTTGCGAGGATGAACTAGCTTGGCTCAACCCAACAGAACCTGACCATGCAATCCAGTGGGATAAAACTATGTGTGTTAAGAACAGCACTGGTGTGGAGATCAAGCGAATAATGTCAAAGGCATTCAAGAGTCCTTTGTCTGCACAGCAACAGACTCAGGTGAATGCAAATTAGTGTTATAAATGATTGCTCTATCAACAGGTGGTATCATACAATTGGTCTCGTAATTCACACGCAGTGAGTTGTAATCTGAGCTGTGCCATGTACCATCAAGGGGAGACTCAGAATTATGACCAGATATTCCCTAACAAGGAGGAAGGAAGCCCTTGCAAACTTTCTTTCAGTGACTTGTGCTACTGGAACACTGCGCCCCTAAACCTTGGAACTCCCTGTCTCAATCCCTCCATCTGCACCTATGGTTAGTTTCCCATGACCCTTGCTTGGCATCCAACCCCACCACTGTGCAGCGCTCCAAGACATTATCCTGCATCAAGGACTCTATATCAATGCAAGTTGTTCGTAAGAAGATTGGAACTGATAGTGTGTGGTATGGAAGTAAAATGCCTTAAATTTGGATGCAAAAAAAGGCTTAGAAATTATTATAATCAAAGGGGTGGTTATTGACATTTTGGTGCAATGTGGGCCATTATAACAACACAAGCGAATATTATTTATTATTATTAATAATAATGAGTTGTTGAATAGTGCCCGGGTGTTGATCTCGGCCTTCTCTTTAGCACCCCTAGTGCAGATTGGAGGAAGTGAAGGACAAGGAAATGTGGGAGTCTCCCTAGATATAGTTGGTCTGTAACCAAGATTAACAAAACACCAAATTCATTCTCTCACTCACAAAAATCACTCCCTTTTGCTGATCTTCTGAACTATTCTTTATCAAGGTTTCAGAATCTTTATCCCTTCATATTGTGAAACTCTTTTACCTTCCTTGGTCTTGCCTCATACAATTTACAGGTATTTCAAGTACAATCTTGGTATCACTCAACAACCCTCTTAACCTTATTTTTCTACAGCTCTTTGCAGCCTTGATGATGGTGTCCATTGCACTGTGGACATTAGTCCATCATGTAGATTTTTAATTTTAAAAGTATAGTCTGTACCTCACAACCAACGCAGCCGAAACCCTCGTCCACACCTATGTCACTTCACGGCTGGATATTCTGATGCCCTCCTCATTGGTCTCCCCAGCTCCACCATACACAAAATTCAATTAATTCAAAACTCTGCCACCCGGACACTCACTCCCGCAAAACTCCGTACCCCTCCACTTGGCTGACTCTGGCCTCCTGTTTGTCACTCGTCCCCTCAGCTCTACCATTGGTGGCTCTGCCTTCAGCCATAGTACGTCCCGAAACTCTGCAACTTTCTCCCTCAATTCCTCCGTCTTGCCTCCTCCTACCCAACTTTCAAATCCCACCTAAAGACTTACTTTTTGATCATGTTTGCGGTCACCTCCCCTCCCTTTCCCCCTTCCCTTGGCTCGGTCTCAGACTCCGCCACTGTCAAGAGCTCTGGGACGCTACCCCTCGTGAAGCGTGCTATGTAAATGGAGGTGGTTGTTGTTGAGTGCATTATAAGACGATGGCAGCATAAGTGAAAGGAAGGTCGTGTGTGGAATAACTGCAGTGATTCTAAGAGTTTGGTTGGCTTTACTTTTGTGGGTTTACTGCTATTATCTGAAATTACTGCTTTAAAATTACTGCCATATATATTGATTGTGTACACTGTTCAAGGAATATTCTGCTTTATATCAGTTAGACCTTTTTGATGGCAACAGATACTGCCCAGTATTTACGAGCATTATGTTGTGTGTGTATTGTCCAGAATGAAGCAAAGTTGTAAATTAGAGACAAACTCCAGAAATGCTTGTCTATTGAAAATACCTCACAACCAGAAATGTAATATATGCCTGTCTTCTCAGGCTTTTGTACAGAGTGCATATTCAGTGAGTCACACAGAGGATGCAACTATATACTCAAAGGGTTTTTACAGATTTCTGTTATTAAGGTGATATCTTACTGAGTGGGTAGGTTGTGAGCATTTTTTGGTTAACTTTTAGGAGTGGGGAATTAAAATCAAATGCCTTTTGATTTGATGTTTTGTTTTCAGGTTTTTTTACCCCCTCCCTTTATTGCTGTGCATTTCTTGCAGCCAGTCTCTTTGAAAATAGTGCAGACTATAAATCAGATCATTAGTTATACCTTGCAAGTTTGCCTACTTCAAACAGCAACTATGTACTGTTTTCCCAGCACCTGATTTCTAAGATGCCACTCCTGAGTGGGATCTCTTGTTGCCTCTGTAAATAATAACAATAATAATACTTGCAATTGATATAGCACCTTATTATGTAATTGATGTGTAAATAATAAATAATCATAATTAATAATAAATCTTGCATTTGATATAGGCCTTATCATGTCATTGAGATTTCTCAAAGTGCTTCACAGGATATGCTAAATAGGAGATGTGACTGGTGAAGTTGCACCCTGGAGCGATTTCCTCTGGTGAATTTTTGCACATGTGCGGATGTATTGACGCCATCGAGCAAATATCAGAATTTTGTTCACACACGAACAACCATTAGAATTTTTATCCGATCTCTGCTACCCAAACATAGGTAATTGCAGAAAAGTTAGTTAATATTTGGATACAACTCCTACCTAATCTCTGAATTTAGATATTAATTTTTAAACCAAAAATCTCTTTAAAAATGTTGATGATCCAGAAGTAAATCTTTCCACTTTGGGAGGCATGGGATACTGTACTGAACTTAGCACTTTTTTTTCTTTTAGGCCTTTATTTGTATATGCGCGAAAGTTTGATGTTTACACCATGATGTTGTGACATCCGGGCATGCAGCAAACATTTGCCTCAAGCAATTAATAAGAACATAAGAAATAGGAGCAGGGGTAGGCCATTCGTGTCCTCGAGCCTGCCCTGTCATTTAACAAGATCATGGCTGATCTTCTAACCTAATTCCATTCACCCGCCTTTTCCCCATATCCCTTAATCCCTTTAGTTTTTAAAAATCTATCGATCTCAGTCTTGAATATGTTCAATTCAGGGACATCTGGATAATAATACTAATAATCCTTGCATTTGATATGACACCTAATCACGTCTTCTAGACGTCTCAAAGCATTTCACAGAATATACTGTAAAGTGACTTGACTGTATTTTGTGGGCGAAACGCGGCAGCCAATTGCACACAGCAATCGATGCTGGCTATATGGGATCTTTGCCAATTTGGTGCTACATTTTATGTCTCTGGAGCTGCATCATTAAATGTTTCCAAGCAGAATAAACACTGCCTTCATTAATGGTATGGCATTCTACATGCATCACATAATAAAATTCATATTATACAAATTTACATTCATACAGCACCTTTCATGAGAGAAACCTGAACAGAAACCTTGTTTAGAAAAATAAAGCATGCAGATGTGTAAAGAGTGGAAGTATTGGAATCAGATGGTGCTCTTTATACTATTGTAACCATACTTTAAACTCAGCATAACTCTTTAATGCTCAATGAATTAACATAAATGCCACTATAAAAGAAACTCTTGTTGCACCCACAAAATACATTTTACAACATATTCTGTGAAGCGCTTTGAGACGTCTCAATGATGTGATAAGGCAATATATATCAAAATGCAAGGATTATTATTAAACATGCAAATCTTTCTGCAAGCTCGTAAATTGTCTTCCTATAAATGTGCACAATGTATTTTGATATAAATAACATATATGAAAATAAACTTACTGAGAATTTGGATTTAAGTAATGTATCCTGTGAAGCTCTTTGAGATGTCTCAATGATGTGATAAGGTACTGTATCAAATACAAGGATTATTATGATTATTATTATTGGGGGAGGGCAGCCTTTATGATTTGTTCGAAGGGACCTGATCCTTGTAACACTGGAAAATATTCTAATTTGATTTTTATCTACGCTGATATTTAGGTAATCTAGAATGCATTGACTACAAGATGTGACCTAGTCAGGATATGTTATTCCTAAAGATATGGTCCCTTTATACAATATAACGATGAGTTTTTATATTTATTTTTCCTTTGTAGCTCCTTGGTGAATTAGAAAAAGATCCAAAGTTGGTTTATCACATTGGTCTGACTCCTGCCAAGCTGCCTGACCTAGTAGAAAATAATCCATTGGTTGCCATAGAGATGTTGCTGAAGCTGATGCAGTCGAGCCAGATCACAGAGTATTTTTCTGTACTTGTGAATATGGATATGTCCCTCCATTCCATGGAAGTTGTAAATAGGTATGTTGTGTGCTTTTTTATTCTTTTCCCAATTTTTCCTTTCCTGAATCAATGACTCATGCCGAAGCACAGTACTTGTGCCCAAATGGTCATTCTTCAATATTCTCCTTGCCCTTGACCAAGAAGTAAACCTTCCACTTTGGGAGGCCGGGGATATTGTACTGAATCTTGCACTTCTTTTGAGGTCTCTCTCCCAGCTGTACTGCTGCTTTCCAAGGTAGAATCAGCTACCTCATAATAGACAAGGGATCAGATAATTAACCCGCACCTTTATGATCTCTGGTGGCTTCGTGTTGCAAATGCGATGTGTTTACCCAGTAATGTATTCGTGAGTGCTAGCTAGGTAAGTTAACGTTAAAAAATGTTTCTTTCTCTTGTAAAATTTATTATTAACTAATTTTCACTGGTATGTTTCCAAAACCAACTCCTTTCCCCTGCTTCCCCAATTGTGGAATTGTGTCAAGAAATGTCTGGGTTAAAGTTTGGATGTGAAGTGGGAGATTACATCACTGGTCCATAAAGTGAAAATTGTTCTTTTCTTAAGTTGCTGTGGTTTTGAATAACTATTTTCGTTTAAATTGGAGTGTCCATTCATACATAGCTTCTGGTCAAAGAACCATTCAGCCCGTTGAGCCTGAGTTTATTAGATAATGGACGACTATTTCTGCACTACTATTTCCCTTCCATTTCATTATTTCCCTTGATCCTCTGCCTAATAAATATTCATTCACTTTCCTCTCAACTATTTGATTTGATCATTACATGTGTGATGATGTTGCACGTTCTCAAATGGTATAACTTTCCGTATTTCAGCACCTTGGGACATCCTCCCGATGTGAAAGGCACTTTACAAATGTAATTTTGTTGTTTGTTGTATTTGTGTTTTTCCCACAGTATTTCCCAATCAAATCACTACCTAAATATCAGGGATAACTTTCCTCCTGAGCTTTGTTCACAGTTTCTGTTTTTGAATTGTTATTTAAGCTGATGTGAATGAGAAATAATCTGAAATGTTTTGTGTGCGTGCATGGAATAGAAAAAGCAACTACTGGCTCTTTTCAGGAGCAGGAGCCAGCAATGACAGAAGAGGCATAAGATAAGTCAAAAGGTTTCGGCCACAAAGTAGGCTTCAATTCGCCTTTAAGTGATTGATTATAGTCCCAATCTGGACTACTGGGAGCTTGAAACAGCTGGATGTTTTGGGATCTAATTTGGATTCTATTGGAGTTTAAATTGTAATACTTGCAAACTGAATGGCATTCATGAATAGCAAGTGAACAAGGAGTGGCCATTTTGGTCATTGGATATTGTAGAACTGGGATTCACCAGATTTTGCAAACTGGAGGATACCATTAATACATGAATGTTGTAAATTTGACCCTTGTATTGGATTTGAAGTTCCATTAGTTTTAGTCCAATTTGCTGTGCAAAAAATTGATTTAAATGGTATATTTCGAAGGTGAGTGAAAAGAAAATTGGTATATCTTGGAACATTTAATATAGAAACATTCAGGCGTGTTACAGTCTGACAACTTTATGTGTTCTGTAATGCATGATGTGATTTAAAATGGAGGCGAATTTATAGCTTAAACGCTGTACTTCAGATAGGCTTATGTAATACAATGACAGTTTGTATCAGTTTTAACGCATTGAAATAAAATTCTTGTGATTTATCAATATGTCAGATTCTGCTACAACAAGTTGCATGTCTATAGTTCTCTTAAGGCGGGGCAGCGTCTCAGAGCGCTTTACGGTGGCAGAGCCTGATGCCGAACAGCGGGAAGGGGAGGTGACCATGAGCATAGTTGAACAAGAAGGTCTTCAAACGTGATCTGAAAATGGGGAAGGAGGGGACAAGATGGTGGAGATCAGGATCAAGTTGGAGGCTGGAGCCAGTGGAGCATAGGCGGCGGGTTCGGAGTAAGCAAATTGGGGAAGTAGGGAGTTGCCAGGGCATGAAGGGATTTATCGATCAGTGTGAGAATCTTGAAGTTGATTTGTTCTGAGATAGGGAGCCAGTGGAGCCTGGTGAGGACTCGTGTGATGGGGATATGGAGTTAGCTTGGTTGAGTATATGTGAGTAGATTTTGAATCAGTTGGATTTTGTGGATAGTGGAGCTGAGGAGGGGATTGGAATAGTCAAGTCAGGAAATGATGAAAGCCTAGATGAGGGTTTCCACTGTGCTGGGTAATGGCTGGAGGCAGGCAGGCAGTGTGAGGTGAAGGAAAGCAGTCATGGTCAACTGGGAATCAACCCTGACGCCAGGTTCAGCAAGTCTTAAGGATGGACCCGGGAGGTTGAGGAGGTCAGAGCCACAGGAAAGAAGATCTTGATGGGAGCTGAGGAGTACGGCTTCTGTCTTGTTGACATACAGCTGCAGGAAATTTGTGCTCATCCAGGGCTTGATGTCTGGCAAACAAGCTGACAGAACATCAGCGAACTGGACTCCCAGCTGGAGGAGGAGAAATAGATTTGGGCGTCATCCGCATACATGTGAAGTCCTATACTGTATTGATTAGAGCATTCGCCTCGCAAATGAGAGGACATGCGTTCGATTCCCAGACAGGATGAAACATTGGGCAAATTTCCTTCCTCCACACGCATCTGTTTATCTAGCAGTTGCTAGTCGATCAGCTTTCCGGAAGTAATAATCCTTTTTTTAAAAAAAATGTGGTCACTCAATCAACGATTGTTTGTGGGACACTGCTGAGTGTAATTGGCTGTCGTGATTCGCCCACAAAATATACAGTCACTCCACTTTACAGTATATTCTGTGAAGTGCTTTGAGGTGTCTCAATGACCTGATAAGGCTTATATTAATGCAAGGATTATTATCAATATATTATAATTGGAAGTTGACATCACCGAGAGGGAGCATCTAAACAAGGAAGAGAAGGGGGCCTAGGATAGAACCTTCTGGTATGCCACCTGTGACTGCGAGGGGGGGGATTTGCAAAGACAAAGTGATAGCGATTTGTTAAGTAGGACTTGAACCAGGTGGGTACAGACCCACTGAGGTGGATGTGAGAGGAGAAGGATAGCGTGAGTAACCATAGCGGAGAGGTCCAGGAGGATGAGGAGACAGAGGGAGTAGTGATCAGAGAGAGAGAGAGGACGTCATTTGTAACAGACTGAGTGCTGTCTCTGTGCTGCGGGCAAGGTGGAAACCGGACTAGAGTAACTTGAATAGGGAATGGAGGTAGAGGTGTGAGCGAGGTTGAATTGCAACAATGCGTTTCAGAACTTTAGCAAGGAAAGGCAAGTTAGAAATGGGTCAATAGTTTGTACGGTTAGAAGGATTGGCGGGTGAGGAGAGTAATGACAGTTTTGAGGGAGAGTGGGTTGGAGCCTGAGGATAGAGACTGGTTGACTATGTCTGCCAGGAGAAGACAGAGAGGAGGGGGAGTTGAGTGACCACCTGGGTTGAGGCAGCAGGTGATGGGCTTCATATAGGTTATGATGGTTGAGAAGGAGGAAGTTGAAACGGGGCAAAAGAGTGTAGGGTGGGGGCATTGGTAGGTGCCATGGTGGAAGGGGTGATGTAGAGGGTGCTGGGGGTCATGGGGGAGGAAGCGGAGGCAGCCAGGCCGATGTTTTCTTAGCTTTGAGACAAAGAAATCCAGGACCTCTTCACACTTGCCATTAGATGTGAGTATAGGAATCTACTGGTATAGGAGGAGTTCCTCCATCTATTTGTGTAAGATCTCATCATTTGTATACTTTATATTAAACTGAGATGGTATGGAATGAGACCCAGTGCTAATGTGGATTTCTCTCCCTTACCTGGATGTTTCAAAGCTCTAAAATTGTGTTTTATCTCGCTCCTAACTAGTTGAAGTCTTTTGTGCAGTTATTTCCCACCACACTAATTTCATTACTGTTATTATTTGTAAAAGCCAAAGTTTAATGTATCTGAAAATTAAGATGTTTGGTACTGCTATATGCAGAATTGTTCCATTAGCAGAAGACTTGACACAGAGCTTTGCCGCTCAGTGTGTACTACCCTGAAAATGTAAATGTGGTATCCTGTTTGCTATTTCCTCGTCTTGCACAAAAAANTCATGGTAGAATTATGTTTTCAACTTGATGGCTTGAGCTGCTACGAATATCAGCGCCAGCCAACTGTAGCTACAGAGGAGCAAATTACAGCAAAGTGACTGTAGGGAATGGTGTATACTCTTGTGCAAGATGCCACTTTGAAGCACTCCTGAAGCCCAAATACAGGTAAAGAAGAAAAATTACACACAGAATTGCCATCACATGGTATGTTATTAGGAAGCTGGATGAGGATACAGCAGGTAGAAACATGTCAGCTGTTTTGAATCCCAACTTTGTAAGGTTTATACCATATTTCTGGCTATCATATGTTGCACATACGCATAAAAAGTTGATTTAGTTGGTCCTAAGAATTTCTGAAATATTGTTTCAAGTGAAACTGATGTCTGTGCTTGAATTTGTATAACCGATTTCTTATTTTGATTCTTTTTGCAGGTTAACCACAGCGGTTGATCTTCCCCCAGAATTTATTCACCTCTATATTTCAAATTGTATCTCCACGTGTGAACAGATTAAGGATAAGTACATGCAGGTAGTTGATGTACTTTGTGCAGTTGAATTGATTGACCTTATGTGACCTTATGCCATATGTTTTCTTATGTACATTGCAGAAACAGTTTGCAAGTTTTTAAACAAACTTCAAAATTGGCTTCTTTCTCACTGTGACAGCACACTTACCGCAAATTTATCTGCTATTTTCAAGAATGGATTGAAGGACTCTAAAATAGCTTTTTAAAAAAACAATGTCACCTCAGACTATCTCTTTATTTCTTGTAAAATAATCTGATACAGTGTGGGATTGATGAAAGAATTGATGCAATAGAATAATAGATGAGAGAACTTTACAATTAGTGAGGTGATTTGATACATCAGGGCTGGGGAAAGGGGGTTCTTACTTCTTTCCCAGTTAATGGACTAAAATAATAGCTGTAACAAAAAACAATTCCAGTAGATGGAATTAAAAAAAATAGTGCAGGTTAAGATGGCAGCAATACGATGCAAAAACCCCCAGCCCTCATGATTTATTTAACTTATTGATTAGCTAAATGTATGAAAATCTCTCAATTGGTGTGGAATCTTAAGTCCTGTTCAGTATATATGTTCCCACCCACCTCCACCTCTGTCTACGTTGACTATTTCTGGAATCATCATGAGAATCTTATTTTGGGCTTTTCAACAAAAAAAAAGTCCTAATTGCTGTTTAGAGTTGGTGGACTCAAATTTAAAAAATATTTTAAAGATATTTCAGTAAAACATGTTTGTAATGTTCCAGGCTGCTGTAAAAATATTTTTTTCTAAAATTATGCTTCAAAAAAACTTCTCATTTCGTTCAAAAATCTGAAAAAAGCCCAGGTGAGCTCCATCAATGATCCAACAGGTTAATTTAAATGGTAGCTGAGCCACAGAGACGAGGAATGCCTCAGGTTTGTGATGAGTTGGTTTCAGCCAGACCAAGAGGAATGGCGTTACAACTGGCCTCAGCACTCAGGTTAGAAAGAACAAAGGAGGTTATTGTGAGGTGTGCAGGAAGTGACATTAGCTGTAACTGAGATCTCTTCCCAGCTTTGAGCCACCCGTATTCTCACACACACTCAACTCCGTACCTCGATCACACCAGTCCTCGCCAGGCTCCACTAGCTCCCTATCACAGAACGGATCGATTTCAAAATCCTCTCACTCGTCTACAAAGCTCTTCACGCCCTTCCACCTCCCTACCTCTCTGACACTGCCCCTATATAAATGCAAGTTGTCGTCGTTAGCAGGATGCACATTTATCTTGGAATCCAGCTTACTTTATGTTTTAGCTATGATGTTTTATATTACCTAATGTTAGTTATGATAATCTTACACTGATGTGTGTGCATTGTGAATCCTAGTTGCATAAAGTAATTGATGCTACAAACAGTTTACCTGTGGCGATAGATTTATGTAATAATGTAGATTTTGTTAATAATGATGCATTACTACATTGTAAACTAATTGGACAATCTCTTATCCCCCAGAACCGTCTGGTGCGCCTTGTTTGTGTCTTTCTCCAATCTTTGATCAGAAACAAAATAATCAATGTCCAGGACTTGTTCATTGAAGTACAGGCGTTCTGCATCGAGTTCAGTCGGATTCGAGAAGCAGCTGGTCTTTTCCGATTACTCAAGACGCTGGACACTGGAGAAAATCCTTCTGAAGCAAAATCGTCAAAATAACAGGAGGCAGGTTCATAGCTCCATGAGACTACTATCACACACCTTTGTCATGTGTTGGAACTTTTTTAGTGGTTTCAGTGATTTAACAAAAATAGTTTTGTTAAAGTGTAAGCCTTTCTTAATAAGCAAGTTTCCCAAAGAGGACCGGATTTATTTTCTTGTTATACAAGCGTGTAAACATACTGATGAGCATTTTGGTTACTGTTTTGAGGGTAGAGTTGCTTATGTAGCAATGCACATCACTTTTGCTAACTCCTATTTAATTTGGTAGGGTGCACTTTCTACAGTATAAAATTGCAACCAGTTTATTTCCATTCTTGCATAACACATGTATATGGAAGTTAGTTTATTCAATGCAAACAGATTGAAAGTTAAATATTTGTGCACCATGTTTGAATTGAGAAGTTGATGGAAGTTGGTTGTAAGGTTTATTTTTAATTAAAATGCTGAAGATTTGAATCAATCAATTTTGTTTAAAACCAGAACCAAATTGAAATCTTTGTCTCTCCCTGTATTTGTGAACTCCATACAAATTGTCTTACTGTAGTATCTGAATCTAACATAGTCTGGTTGGTCATTTGTGTGGTTTAAATAGTGATGTAAAATCCTCAACAAGAAAAACATGATTATAATCTGGTGTCAGTAAGCATGGGTGCTTTCTGGCTTAGTGCCTGTTCAATAAATGTAGGATTTGAGACTGCATATTTTGACATCAAAGTTTCCATATTTTTTTTTCTTGTAACCTTTAGTCAAAATGTGGTGAGTTGGTGCCTTCGTGGAATCCAGAGGAACCCAGAAAGCTTCGGTATAGCCCTGTAGCTCAGTAGTTAGAGCGCTCGCCTCGCAAGCGAGAGGATCTGGGTTTAATTCCCGGGCAGGGCTAAACATTGGGCAAGTTTCCTTACTCCACACACCTCTGTTTACCTAGCAGTAAGTAGGAATCTGGTTGTTAGTCGATTGGTGGAACACTTTTCCGGGGTAATAATTCCTCAAAAAAAAAGAAATTTGTTCACTCAATCCATAACTTTTTGTGGGGCACTGCTGTGCACAATTGGCTGCTGTGTTTCACCCACCAAATATACAGTCAATTCACGTTGCAGTATATTCTGTGAAGAGCTTTGAGACGTCTTGAAGACATAAGGAGCTATATCAAATGCAAGGGTTATTATTATAGATGCTATGAATTGAAACAAGGTTTGTGCTATAGCCTCCACTCAGATATACCTTTAAGACTGGTCAGATTGAAGGGATACTTGAATGTAGATTCTAGGACTTGTCTGTAATAGAAACATTATGAAAATATGCATCCTGATATCTCAATGTGAGATGTAAAATGTAAAAGTCCAAGATTTGAAGTTTCACTTTTTTTATGTGCAGAATTGAATTTATTGGTAGTCCTGCATAATTCATTGATAAGAACATATTTAGGAAATTGTGTGGAAATGTGACTTTGTGTTCAAATTAACACTGAGATAAAGTGGAGAAGTTTCAAAGAAACTGAAGAATTACAGCAATTAGAATACTTAGTTACAAAGAGAAATTCTCCTGATCTTGCTTTCATTGGAGTGAAGACCGAGCAGGGATGTGTTCAGGGTCTTCATATAATTCAGAAAGCCATAGACGCTAACATAAGGTTTAATTTTGAGCAGAAAACTAGGAAATGTGTAGAAAGTGGCCAGGTTTGAATAATGTAGATTTTATTAGTAATAATCCTTGCATTTGATATAACTTATTATTGCGTCTCAAAGCACTTCACATGATTTACTGCGTTGTGAATATTTGTAGGCAACCCCAGCAAGCAATTTGTGCACAGGAATGCCTTACAAACGGCCATGAATTGAGTGACTTATTTGTGGGATGGTTAGCAGGACACCAGGATAAACTTCTCATCTCATATAAAACCATGGGATCTTTAATGTCCATCCGAACAAACAGGACCTCAGGTTAAGGTCTCATCTGAAGGTCAGCTCCTCCAACAATGCAGGATACCACCCTACCATTGCATGGGAGTGTCAGCCTAGATTTGAGTTCTTTGAAGCTTTAACCTGGCATGGAGGAGAGAGTTTCACCAACTGAATCAGGCTCCACCTAAAGGTAAAATTGATATCGAGTATTGCTCGATTATTTTCAGGAACAGACACCTTTTGTAGAATAAATTGGATACATTTGTTGGAATTTCCGATCCTGAGGTTCAAATAATGACCTGACAATCCAATTAAGGTGTAATAGAGATTTATTATCAAAGTAACACATACAAAACTAATAAAATAATATGGCCACTACAAGTAACAGAACTTATACTACCAGTTTTTGAGCAGTCAGTCAGTTGCAATGGTCTCAGCACACCTTCTCTCTGATTGTTCGGCTGCCCTCTGTCTGGCTGGATCTGCTGTCTTACTTGCCTAAAGTCAGGGTAGTTATACTTTTTCCACCCAGGGAATCCTTCTCCAATCAAGCATCTTAGCGAGTACCCAACGTACTCGACCCTTGCACATCCTTGTACCCATATCTTCTAGATAAGCAGACCCTTTTGAGACAAAGCTTGCTCATTATTCTTCAACACAGGACATCTTGCTTCTCCCTTCCAAGGCCGAAGCCTGTCTCCGTCTGGTAGAAACATTTAACATGATCAGCATGTGTTCACAGAATACTGAGCAACTTTACTTAGGTGAGCTCATGGAATGCAGATTTCTTGGGCCTTTCTTGAAGCCTGTTCTATGCCTTCTCTCACCATCACAACTGACTGACTGTTGGCCTTTCAGAACCAGGATGGCTTATTCTGCCAATTCCTAAAATGTTAGTAAAACAGTTTCTTTCTCCCGTTTCCTACCGCAATGCATATATGGGTATTGATATACACACATATATATAATATATTCATTATTATTTCTTCTATTGCTCTTGCAAACTATATTAAAATCAACCTTTTCTAACACATTTCAGCCCTCGAAGATGCTACTCCATGTGAAGGGTGCTATATAAATCCAAGTTGTTAAATTATAACAAATTTGATGTGGTTGAAAAATGTTGAATCATTTTTGTTTTTATAAACTTACTCCATTTTGCTGACTAGCAAGAATGGTGACATACTATAACTAGTCTTTTATATTTCAGTCATCCAGGAGAGGGAGCTAACATCACTTTGCCTTGCTAGCTCTCCTAAAAACAATTGTTCAACCTTCCTAAAGCTCTTATTTCCCCACTCAGAAGCACTACATTTGTCAAGCATTGTAAAGGCATTGTTATAGAATCATAGAATATTACAGCACAGAAGGCCAATCGGCCCATCGTGCCTGTGCTGGCTCTTTGTAAGAGGTACCCAATCAGTCCCACTCCCCCACTCTTTCCCCATATCCTTGCAAATGTTTCCTTTTCAAGTACTGTACCTATCCAGTTCCTTTTTGAAAGTTATTTTTGACTCATCTCCCCTCTGGTTCTTTTGCCAATTATTTTGAATCTATGTCCCCTGGTTACCAACCCACCTGCCAGTGGAAACAGTTTCTCCCTATCTGTTCTATCAAAACCGCTCATAATGTTGAACCTCTATTAAATCTCCCCATAACCTCCTCTGCTCTAAGGAAAACAATCCCAACTTCTCCAGTCCCTTCATGTAACTAAAGTCCTGGATCCCTGGTACAATTCTGGTAAATCTCCTCTGCACCCTCTCCAAGGTCTTATGTAAAAGATGCAATATAAATGCAAGTTCTTGATACCAACTTTACTGGAAGAAATGTCAATCCTGTCAAAACAAGTCTTGCTGCCTGTCTACAAAGGTCATGAATGAAATGGAGTTTGGCAGATCTCAGCATGGTTGTTAAACTAATTCAGCACAAATTGGTAATTTTATTGAGTGGTTCCAATACATCTCAAATTAACAATTTCATTTAGATCTACAATAATTCCTGGTGTGGTAAATGGATATTTTACAGTTGTGCATTAGTGGAGGACAGAACAGGGCATTGGAACTGAGAACGGACATTCACTTATTAGGAGGGTGGATCCTGGTTCTGAGTCTTGTAGAAATTGGTATGAATATGCAGAAAAAAATGATAATCTTACATTCTTATCAAACGAAGACCAACTTTTTTTTCATTTTAAAACAATATGATCATAATATCTCCTATTTTTTAGATACTTTTAAATTCATCTCTAATTAGAGGGCAGCCAGGTAACTTGCTCTACTTTGCATGGAATCAGAGGTCCTGTGTTTAGCTTCATTATTTGTGGACTAGTAAGAGAAAATCACATCCGAGTTTCTGTACTGAATTTCTTTTCAGTGATATTTGCTGTGAGTGTGTTTATGAAATCAATGGGTAAGGACAGGGCTGAATTCAGCCTCACACGTAAACTTCATATCCAAGTTTACATGTAAGGAATGCCCACTAGTTTCAACATCTCTGAACTACAAATAAGAAAAAAAGTAGTTACTATTCGTTACTTTTCAGTAACTTTTGTTGGAAGTGCTATCATAAGATTGGTTGAGAATAAAGTTGAGAACTCAGCTGTGCCATTGCAGCACTCACCCAGAATTGCATTGGGGTGTCAACCAGCTGAAAGTCCCAAAGTGCAGCTTAATCCCACCACCTGACGAGGTGAAAATGTTCTGAACTGAGCCATTATTGCTTGTTGTGATCTAATCATTGAACATAGAACAAGTTTCTTATTCACTGAAAATTAAAATATTCAAAAATGTTCAAACTTCCAAGACTTTTTTGCAACAATTTTTACAGTGAATTTTTAAAAAATGTATAGCTTTCTGGTGATAAGTGACTTGTCTTATAAGTGGTACAATTCAACAAAGTCCACTGGACAATTTGCATCTATCAAGGCTACACAATTTACATATAACACCCTTCATACCAAGGTGTTCAGCTTGTGATGAATTTTGTTGCAGTGTGAATATTTATAAGGACAAAAATTCCAACAAATAAATAATGAGAGTTTAGAAGAATTTTATTTACACAGGTTAGAATGTGGAATGCTTCATCACGGATGACTGCTGAAGCCCAATCCATAGGCAAGGCAATTGGAATAGTAATTGAGAAAAATATTAAATAGTAGGGAAAAAGAACAGGAGAATGGGATTTGAGTAGAGAACCGGTTAGGGAACTTGGACCAACTTACATAATGGGCTGAATTGCTTATTTCCTTGGTGTAATCTTTGCATGACAATCTTGGTGATCTAGTTTTGACATAGTTCTGATCTATTTAAAAGAACTTGTATAATTGAAGTAAACTTTCAAAAAAGTCACATTTTGCAACTTGTTGACCAGCTTTTTTTTATTGATACAACCTTCAATTGCATGTAGTCTTAAAACATCCACACCTTTATCAAGAATGTTATTCAGCTATGGGGAAGGTCAAAGCATTTTAACTGGCTCCATGGTCACATATTTGCAACAGAATATCAGAATCAAGCCAACTCTCTGTGGCAGTCTTGGTAGTCAGTTCCTGAGCCGGGTGGGTCCACAGTACTCCAGGGAACTGTTGATGACAGCACAGCCAACCTGACTCATTGGTAGGAGTTGGAAGGGCTGACCAGACACTGAACAGGAAGTCTTTCACTCATCTCTCATTATCCCTTTTAAGCCAAAGCACTAATAGAAAGCGATGGGGGGGGTCCTAGCTAGAATCAACGGGAAAGCTTGCCACACAGCAATATCAATGGCAAGCTGTGCAGTTTTAGCTTGTTAGACTCCAGGAATTACCCCAACATGCACTCTGGGGTCCTCAACTCTTTGCTGTTGCCAATCTGGACCTAATACTCTCTGGAATTAGGTAAGCAGGATGCAGCCCTCCAGGGAGACCGTACATTCCAAAAAATATCTGGAATTTCCACGGATGGGTGGGATGCATAGAACTCTGTTTGGTTTGGAGACTCTTGAGCATGGTGGCGGGTTTCCACATGTGTCACATCCATTGTAATTCTCAGATAGTACAAATAACAGGTGTTGTGAGCCAAGGAGGAGTGATAATAGTTTATCAATCTTGCATTCACCCTTAGTTGGAATTGGCCTTAAATGATAATCCTAACCCTAAGTGTTGCTCTCTGCCTCAATCTCTCTGCCTGTCCCCCTTCTTGTTCAAGTTGAGCACTCGCCTGGCAAGCGAGACACCTGGGTTCAATTCCAGGCAGGGCAGAACCTTGGGCAAGTTTCCTTACTCCACACGCCTAATAATAATCCCTCCAAAACAAAACAATAATAAATTGGTCATTTTCAATCCACGACTGTTTGTGGGACACTGTTGCGTGCAATTGGCTGCCGCGTTTCACCCACAAATATACAGTCTTCTGTGAAGCGCTTTGAGACGTTGAAGACGTGAAAAGAGCTATATCAAATGCAAGGATTATTATAATTATGTATCTTCAGATGGCATCTGAAGCCCTTCCTCTTTGACAGTGCCATGGTCCTCTCTCCCCGGTTCACCATCAAGCTCCGCCACCATTAAGCGACCCGTGTGAAGGGCTCTATTCAAATACAACTTGTCTTATGCTTCACAACTAATGAATTTAATAACTTTTATTTGAAGTATCCCTTCTACAGCAAAAGTTACCCCAAAGAGCAGAACAACTGCTTCAGGGCATGTGTAGTACAGATAGTTCAATACAATACCTCTGCAACATTTTATATACACATACACCCTATTTCAACAAAATTATACAGTAGTCTTTTACAGCAGCAATATCAATTAAAAGTTGAATGCTTGTTTTAATTCCATAACCTTTCAGTGTAATTTAAAGGAAAACATTTACCTATGGCACTATACTTTAATATTTTCTACAAAATTCAAAATTTTAAGTACTACATGATATTCTTACTGCAGAATGATCAGACTGTTAAAACTACCAACTTTTTAAAGCATTCCTAGGCATTAAATATATGTAAAGTAAAAGACAATGGTTTAATGTTACCATATAACATTATTCTACGTTTAATTAAACTTATTAACATTACTGTTTGACAACTGGGAATAGGGCAACTTCATCTTACTAAATATTTGCTAAGGATAAATCAAGTAAAAAATAAGCTATTTAAAGAGACAGTATATTTACAAATGTATTTCACAGGCTTCTTATAAACAAGAATGAACAGTTGTGTTCATTGAGAAGGACGTATGAATTTCTTAAGAGACAACAACATAGTCACTCTCATACCTAAACAGTGATTTAAAACATTAATTCCAGTTTCAGTAAAACCCACCTCTTTGCCAAGGCACTTGCACAAGTACCTTTTTGATTCTTATTGCTATGAAAGTACTAACAGCAGGAATCCCATGCGTTACCAAATCGACAAACGCACTTCTATAAAGCATTATCCATTTCATCTAGTTATGTAAATCAGTTGAGTCTGTAATGACAAATTTAAAATCTAAATTGTAAATCAGTTGAGAATGTAATAACAAATTTAAAATGCACAACTTTGTACGTGGTTGCACACATTAAGCAATATACAGCATGTTTATATTCATTTTGTGTTTTGAAAGGCTGCATCACTCATATTCACTCAACACAGTTTATTTTCTTCAGAAACATTCATCTGGCATCTGGACATGCAACAGGACAGCCTGAACTGTCATCATTTGGTTGACTCCCTGGATTGTTTTCTGGAAACAAAATAAGAAGGATTATAAGAGCAAGAAAAAAGTCTAGTTTTAAAAAAACTGATAATGTACTACATATTATTGTTGGCTCGGCAGACAAATCTGGTGTTTGTTTGCAATACTAATATTTAGTAAGTGTGAGCAATTGTCCTGGTGACACAGAGTTTCATAAGCCTACAGTACTTCTCCAGGTAGCTTTGATATTTTCTGTCTACAAAAGTAAAAATTAACAGACTCTCACAGAAATGGAGAGGAACCTTGATAGTGGATAAAAAAAACAGGGAGGCATCACCAAGGGAAGAGTATGTTGATGTTGAAAAGGAAAGGACCAAGGACAGAGTGCTGAGGAACGATGCAAGTGACCCTACCAGCGGTTGAACATGCAATAATTATGTCAAAATGTAAATGTGGTCAGGTATGAATTCCCCCACCCTCCCAATTCACTTCACTCTATTGTGAGTTATGCAAAGTAACCTAGCACTCTGTCTGGGTCCTTGCCATATACTGTAGTTACACTTACCAATTAGAGCAGCTGCTTCATCCTCTTCCAGTCTGTCGTCGTGTTGTAATGATTCAAAGGTGGAAGACTCTGGGAAGGTACTGACTTCATTTCCTCCGTCTTCATGTAAAGAAGGGCTTGAATTGCTGACTGGGATACTGACGGGTGCTGATTCTGGTATCACTATTTCAATATCTTCATGTGCATCCACCTAGCAATGATACAAATCAGCAATAGAATAATAGGCCTCCTCTTATGTTGCAATTTTGTAAGATTCTACTTCATACTTTTTACATTGTTGTATTTTTGTATGAGAAACAATTTGGTAGATTATCCTCTTAAAAAGATAAAATGTGTATTTTGAGTGCCTTCTCATGTCAAAATGTTCTGAAGTGTTTTACAGCAATTACTATAACAGCATTTTTTGTCAGAAAACACAAGGTTTACTAAGCCTTTATCATCTAAAAGCAATTACTGGATGTTGAGTTTTTTTTTAAATGATCAAGTATTATTACTTACCAGAAAGCCAAGTGCTTTAATAACATCAAGTTTACACATTGGACAAGTTTGATGTTCAAGAAGCCACGGATCAATGCATATCCTATGGAAAACATGTCTAAAGAAAAGATAGAGATATCTCACAGAATGAATTAGAATAGATTGCAAACGCTAGCTTGCTGCAATTTTCTCACTTGCTTGATTAATGAACCCACTTTATAATTGACATAGAATTGAACACACAGTACAGCATGGAAACAGGCTTTTCGGCCCGAATAGTCTTTGACAATGTTCGTACTCCACTGGAGCCTTCACCCCTCCTAATCCCTCACCCAAAACTCTCTATTGGCTTCTGTTAAGTACTGCAAAATCCATATAATCAGATAGAAATATTTAAGCTTCTAAAAATGTAATGTCACTGCTATCCCCAAATTCCATGGATAAAATATGCAGAACAAATACAATTAAAATCAGCTGTATTTGGAAGTATTATTTATATCAATTCTCATTGATAGAAACCTGAATATGAAATATACGTTTTATTCACACATGTTACTGCTTCCTATTATCTGGGTAAATATTGAGTAACACCTGAACTCAAATAATAAATGTTTCAAGAATGAAATATAAATTACTAATATTGATGGTGTTTTTTATTTTAGATTAACTGGTTATTAACTCACATGAATACAAACTTGTAGTTAGCTTTCTTTGTACAGCTCCTGAATCATATTAGAAAAATTACTTCGAATTAACACATTTAAAGCAGGCAGAACTTTCAAAACCATGATCTGTTTCCCATGTTTAAAGCAAGGTTCATAAATAATAAAAGGATTTATTCCTGTGTGGGGCAAAACCTCAGGCAAGTTTATTCTTATTAATCCTTACATTGATAAAGTGCCTTTCACATTGTGAGAATGTTTCAAATCACTTCACAGGATTTACTGTAAACTGTGCTGACTATTTATAGGCGAATACAGAAGCCAATTTGTTTTCAACAATGTCCCACAAATAGGCATGAAGCGAATGACTAATTTTATCTGAGAGATTGGCGGCCAGGACACTGGGAAAAACTCCTGTCTCTTTTCAAATAGTGAACTGTGATCTTTAAGGTCTACCTGAATTAGATGGATGGGGCCTCGGTTTAATGTCTCATCCAAAGGATGGCACCTCCAACAATGCAGTACTCGTCCAGCACTGCTCTGGAGTGTCAGCCTTGACTAAGCTAAAAGTCCCTATGTGAATCCTTGAATCCTCAACCTTCTGACTTGGAGTTGAGAGTGATACCAACTAAGCCAAGTTAGCATCTGCAAATGTGTCAAATTTAATATTTTTTCCCCCAAATAAAAGCTTAATTTTGTGGAGGAGGGGTTAAGTATATATGAGAAACTGAGCATGAAAGATGTGGATTAAGTGGATAGTCTTACGCATCAAAAATGAATGGCAGTGTTGATTATTTTAATGCTAAACTCAACCCAATAATAAAAACAATTATGATGTACAGGCACAAAACTACATTTGCCTTCCATGTTCTGTGCGCATTTAAAAAGGTTAAAAATCTAACACAGATTTCAATAGAAATGTTAATTGCATGTTAAAACATTTTTCTCTATACAAGTAATGCACCATTTTTAGTAGCAGTCCAGAACAGCTGTCAATTTACATCACAGTAATGCATCTAATCAGATTATTTCTGCAATACTGTTAACTACAATTACAAACACCATCAAATTCAACCACTCTTAAATTTGAATGGTAATTGAAGCATGCATTTAATCAGGAAAATCGGCAGCTGAATAGGGAAGGAAGAATAACTGGAATTCAGCATAGCTTTCAGATGTACAAAAAAAGTAATAAGTAAATTGAAAATAATGTACTGTACCAGATTGTCGGCAATTCAAGCAATGAATGGCATGAGCAAGCAACATGAGAACTGAAAACAGGACTGGAAATCAGATTGAGGGATTTGATATGTGTACAATGGTCATTTACATAAGTGAAGGAATTGCCATACAGAGATCGATTTCTGTCACCATAAGCTTTCTATCACCGCCGTGAATGCCACCCCTCTGATGGGGTTGCTTAGTCAAGCAGTGAACATTTTTCTCATCTCTCACGTAACAATTGAGCTCCACCACCACCACAGGTAGAGCTCAGTAGCTCAATTGTTATGTGACAGATAAGGAATGATTCAGGTAAAAATAATACGAACTTGATGGCAACAGTCGAGAGTCAGATTCAGATGTGATCATCTCATCACGAGATGTTTGGATGAAGAAGGCAATTTAATCTCATCCTTTCAGAATGCCCACTCTATCATCTTCCCATGACAGCATCAAGCCGTCGCCTCAACTACCCTTTCTGAACTCAATTGCCCTTCCTGTTCTGAATGCAATGTTTGCTTACCTACCGTGGAAGATACATCTGTCTTTTTCTTTAAAATGTAAATTTTCTTACCTATTTAGATTTACCCCATTCTACACATTGTTTCTTGTCAAACAGGGCATGCGCAAGGTCTCCATTGATTTTATTGCTTCATTCTAAGCCGGTCTCCATTGATTTTATTGTACAACTAGGCAATTTGGGCAAGTTGCCCACTGAATTTCCCAATATAAAGTGCCAATTCCCTTGACAGCCATGATTACCAATTTATTTATGTGCCTAAAATAATTGTTAGATTAAAACAGTTCATCTCAGCTAAACACTTTACACAATTGTAGTTTTATTGTGATTAAGGTACAGAAACAAACATTTCAGATATACTAAGAGTCCCTTTTTGTCTATTTAAAATAAGATTGAATAATTAGATTCAATTGAGGCACTTTCTGTTCATAAATGAATTCTAAGCCATAAATTACATCATATACATACTTGCATGGTAGAATTCGAACAACATCCCTGGATCTATATACTTCAATGCACACAGCACAACCATCAATATCCAAATCGATTTCCTGGGGAGGATCAAAATTTGACATTAAATTTACAACCCAGGGTTGTTGGATGTCAAATGAACAACTAGTGATTATCCTCCGTAAACTGGCTCCAAAGTGACATGTTTGCCAACAGAATGTCAGAATTGAGCCAGCCCTCTGTGGAGGTATTGATAGTCCAGTTCCTGAGCCAGGCCATTCTGCAGTATTCCAGGCACTGCTGATGACAGCACAGCCAGCCTGGCTCATCGGCAGGACTTGGATGAGCAGGCCAAACAGTGGAACAGGGACTTTTCCCACTCAGTTCCCATTAATGCTGCAAGTCAAAGCCCTAACAGGTAGGGTGGTCCTAGCTGGACAAGCAGTGGGAAAATTTGCCAGACAGCGCTTTCAATAGCAAGCTATATGGTTTTAGCTGTTTAGAATCCAGAAGTACCTCAAAGCACATGCTGGGGTCCCCAAGCATTAATCTCTAGGTAAGCAGGATGCATCCCTCCAGGGAGATTGGGCATTCCAATAAATATCTTGGTAATTTCCACGTATACTGGGGGATGGCTTCCCATACCCCAGAGGATCGAATTCAAGATCCTCATCCTCATCTACAAGGCCATTCACGGCCTTGCTCCCTCCTACCACTCCAACCTACTATTCCCCTACCAACCTGCCCTTACCCTCCATTCCTCTGGCTCCAGTCTGTTCCACATCCCCCGCCCCAACCGCTCTACCATCGGTGGCCGGGCCTTCAGCCTCTCAGCCCCGAGGCTCTGGAACTCCATCCCCCAGTGCCTTCGCCTTGCCTCCTCCCTTTCCTCCTTCAAGGCCGGTCTCAAGACCTTTCTCTTTGACCCTGCCTTCAGCTCCCCTCTCGACTCTCTACCCCTCCTCGCTCCCTCCCTTCTCTCCCCTCACCCTGACCATTTCTCCCCTGCTCGGGTCCTGACCCAACTGTCCAGCGCCTCGGGACGTCCTCCCGACATGAAAGGCTCTCTATAGATGGAATCTTGTTGTTGTATAAGTGGGATGCATGGAATTCTCATTTTGTTTTGGACACTCTTAAGCATTGTGATGGCTTTCTGCATATCAGACACCCAGATGCCCCCCCCCCCAACACTGCTAAAACACACAAATACCATTTTACAGTATATCCTGTGAAGCACTTTGAGATGACTAAATGATGTGTTAAGTAATTATATCAAATGCAAGGATTATTATTGTAACTTGGTTAAAATGAAAGTTCTGTCAACAGGTAGCAAACAACAGACAGCAGGTTACCTTATCTCCACACTTGACTGTATGAAGTTGAAGTTTACTGATGGCTTTCTTGGCCTCTTTCCTGTTATTTCGGTTTTTCTTGTTCTGATTAAAAAAGTTAAATTTTGGATTAAAAGACAACCAATGGATTGAATTGAAAATTGCAATGATATCTATAACAGCAAAATCAACCAATCAGCCTTCCTTTTATAGTCTTTAAATTTATATATTTTTTAAATATAAAATATTATATTTTTTAAAACCATATAGACATGCAAACAAAAATTCTGACACTGAGTGTTAAGTGCACAGTGTTTAAACCTACAAAATATATATTTTTTATATTAGCCATTGAAGAAAATGGAAAGCCCCCAAAACTATTGAAATCTAACCAAAATTAAACCAACAAGGTGTTTATTTCAAAGTATACTAAAGTGAATAATTTAAAGAATTTTCACATTCTGTATGTAAATTTTGCAGATTTGTTGCAATGTTTTAAATGCTGTATCTGTGGAGTTCAAATTTACTGAACTATCTCATGTTAAGATACAGAATATCATAAATATTTACCTGATTTGAAAACTGTGAGCCTGAGTATAGAAACCGCTGAATGTAGTAGAAGATGAGCCAAGCCAGAGAGATGATCATCATTGTGATGAAAGCAATAATTACAAACACAACGGACTGTGAGCTCATCCACTCTTGCACATGGCGTGTACCGACAGTGATGGACATTATCACTGGGATACCTCGACGGATTACCTCCAGAATCTCCATTCCCTTTGCGTTACCAATCATAATGGCCACGGTGTTTCCAGTCCCTGAAAAAAAATTGGTAATTATCAATTTCCAAATGTCCAGCAATTGTAAAAAAGATAGGATTTTACGATTTTTTACACCCTACACCCAGAAACATCACATAATTATTAGGGAGCCAAAAAGGCCAAGCTACAATATGCTGCAGTTCCCCAAAACACAAACTAAAGACCGTTTTGAAACCATCATCCTGGGTTGGAAAAGGATCAGTCTTAGATTTGATGTTTCCCAGGGACAAACAATCTGCTGATGCGCACTGTCTATACTTATACATGTAGTATGTACCAAATAAAAGGATTATTATTAAATGCAAGATTGATACTCAGAAAGGCACAACTGGAGTACAATTCTGAAATTGTAGCTAAAAAGCAAGCAATGACTGCTCTGCATTCAGCAGATAAACAAATAATAATTTGGTGCAAAGTAGTGGGTTGTCAAGAGTTGTAGAAGTACCAGCAAGTACCATAACCAGCACAAATCATATTATTATTACTATCATCACCTTCAGGGGAGGGGGGTGGTGGTGAGAGAGAAGGATAGGACAAAAAATGATAAGCATGATAAACAATACATTTCCAGGCAATGAGAAGCCTCACCTTGGTGGAAATAAAATTTCAGGTAAAGATAATAGTCCCCAGTTCCAATATTATAGAAATGAGACAAGAACCAAATAATACATTATGTAATAATCTTTGCATTTTGTAAAATGTATTCACAAGTGTAATGCTTTGAATATCTACTTATCTTTATAATAGTGTTTTCTAGACTTAATTCAACTGTACAATTATTGGAAATGGTTAAAATGCTATATTCCTGAGGCCTGGGTGAATGAGATTATTCAGTAAATAACACATCATTATCCTTTAGCGAGACAAGTAACCCTCCATTCGGTAATGTATTTTTAAAAAAGAAAACTAGTTGTCTGGTTTTCCCAGCCATCTGATGACTGTCCCAAAGGTGTTAGTTAATCTGATTTCTTCCACTGTTCCTATAAAGTGAAATTAGGTCTTTGCTCCAGCAGCATCATCATCGCTGTAAGGCATGAAGCAATCTACAAATTCTCCATATACAGTACAGTCCACACATATATCACTTGTGCATTCATGGTCAGAAGCATATTTCATAAATATAATTTGTCATTAGTTACAAGCTAGTGGCAAATGAGTATTGTTTTTCAATGACAGTATGATAAATTCATCAACTCCCTTGGTCATTGAAATGTACTACATTCAACAGCTGTAACAAACTGAGAGTGAAGGTTACTGTTGTATTTATTGCTGTGCAACAGTGAAACGTTTAACATGAACAAAAGATTAACTACAGCATAATGTTAGATCAAAATCCCCAAAAGAACTGTTGTACGCAATTTAGATTAGATTTAGCAGTGAAGCAAATAACGCATTGGTGAACAAAGTGTCCAAAGTTGTGGCTCACAAAATACAACAAAATCAATCAAATGAGATAAGGTTTTGATATACAGTATTTCAATATGTTCATATTAACCCCAGGAGTATTTGGAGTTGATACTCGCAAACAAATATGTGAAAAGCGCAAAATGAAACTGAGGAGAAACATATCTCAGTGGACAATTCAAGAGCATCAAAATCAAAGCCTGGGTTTTCCCTGTTGGTTAGTGACACTTGAAGGCAACTAGATAATCTATACTAATAAAACGACAATGTCTGTCTTTCTGTGCTTCAAGAAGGATCTCAATAAATGATTGACGTAGAAACATGATTTATATCTCGTTGAAAAGGTCTTGCCACTTGGAGTGACATGGGCATATTTGTTTTTGGGTATCTCCTATTGTTCATGAATTAAGACCTAAAATGTATTTAAGTTTTGCACTTTTCGCTGTAGTTACACCTGGTGGCCGCCAAGTCAAAGTGGCGCTGTGGCATCACACGTCACAGAGCAGGCACGTAGCCAAGTGGCGGCGGCAACAAAATAAAGAACACAGACGAAGCTAAGCCACAACAACAACAAAATTTTAAAATTTTTAAAGCTCCTTTCACGTTGGGAGGACATCCCAGTGATTATAAATTATACATTTATATTGATGATTGTAAAGATGCCTGAGCGAAAATCAAACCTTTCAAGGATAAGTAAAAATGCTAGACAAAAGAGAGAAGGACCATTAAATAAAACTGAAGAACAAAGAACAGCGCGGCTGCACTTAAATGCTGAAAAGACTGCAACAGCGCGCCAAACTGAGTTGCCCACTCAAAGAACAGCAAGGCCAAAATAAGATAAAGATGAAATGTCTGTCTGCGTGTCAATCAAGATTCCATATTGGATCCTTTGGTTGCAAGCGAAGCTGCTAGTACTGTATAAGGCGATAACATGCAAAAGATGGGTCATACCCTCGCATTGAGCTAATGGGAAAGATTGGACACTATGACTTCTCTTTTTGAATTAAGATTGTGTATGTGTGTGTGTGGGGGGGGGGGGGGGGAATCAAAGGTATTTAAAATCGGAAGGGGCTCAGAAATCTTGAATGAGTTTTTTTTCAAAATTCAAAAAACAAGGCATCATTCAAAATGACAATAAAAGCAAAGTGAGTTGCAAAAGAGGTTTACGCAAAATGATACAAGCACTGGTGGTGAAACAAGAAACTGCTGAATAAAGAGTTTAAAAAATTTGACAAGTTCCTGGAAATTAAAAGAATTCAGAGTTGTTAGTTGTTGAGATAGATGGCTTGAAAGAATTGTTTGGGAAGCTATAGGCTAGATCAGAGATTAATAATAAAATAATAATAATCCTTGCAGTTGATATATCGCTTTTCACATCTTCTAGACGTCCTAAAGCCTTCACAGAATATATTGTAAAGTGAATTGACTGTATGGTGGGCGAAACATGGCAGCCAATTGCACACAGCAGTATCCCACAAACAGTTGTGGATTGAAGTGACCAATTTATTATTATTTCTTTTCTTGAGGGATTATTATTAGACATGTGGAGCAAGAAAACTTGCCCGAGGTTTTGTCGTGTCTCCCAGGAGGGGGGGGGGGCTCAGACACTGGTTGCGGGCCTCCCAACAGTCCCAGGTTTCTCGGATCTGGCCTTGCTTCGCAGCAGGGCTGCCGCAATGACCTCTACTTTTCTACAGTGCAACCCCGAATTCCACTACTTTGTAAGGGAGGAGACAGGCTGACTCCTCCTGCTAATGGGATGGGATTGATGAATATTGTACTGACATGATCTGTACTCATGAGTTCCCAGAGCGTTTTGTGCAGTTTTGTTTTGGCAGGCTCATTTTGTACTCTTTTTGGGCAGAGTTGTATGATAGCAGGGAGGGTACTTCGTGAAGTACAATTTGTGCTTTCAATGTTCTTATTGTAACTGTATTGATCAGAATTTGTTGTTCATATTCTTGCAGAATATAGGATTTTCATTTCTTTGTACTGTCTTGGTGAACTGTGAAGAGATGCAATTGTTTTCTTATTATATTAGGAAGGTTCACTGTGACAAAGATTGAGAACCTCTGGGCTAGATAGACCAATGGTCAACTGCTACCCCAAACTGTTATTACATAACACATATTGTGCATAGAGCACTGACTCAATTTGCAAGTGGTATTCTTTCACTATTGAAATTCCATACTCCAACCAACAGGCATTATAATCAGAAATATATGTTCAGTAATAAGTAAAATTCATGCTGTATACCAGTGTCTCAACTGAGCTACTGCAAGCTCTGACGAACAGCACATATACTTACTTACATGTTGCGCCCAGTGCTACATAGATATTTTAAACCTTGCTACATAATATATATTATATAATTCAAAATTCAGCCCTTTCCAGTATTAGCAGGATTTATAAGCAAATCAGACTCTTATTTGTGTTTACCACGGAATGAAATATAAATTTCTGAATATAATTGTTCTGATTCAATTGCTTAATGTTTCTAGAAGTGAAGAGAGCACTAGTTTCATATCTAACAAAAACTGATGTTAAACATGCATCTTAATCAATTGCATTTATGGATCAGACTTATCAAGCTCCCACTCTTTATGCAAATGGTGATTAGAATAACACTTTAATTACTGGTGAGCTGAGGTACACATTCAAGCCTTTAATCAATGCTAAAATATGATGTTATATATATTTTAAACAGAGCTTATATTTTTAATATCCTAATCTCATCAGAGATTTGTTTAAAGTCTGTTCTACTTTTTGATTACCATCTGTATAAAAATACTCAATATCTGTCCTAACTTGCTCTTCACAACCCTGAACCTGTGCCCTTTTGTTCTACTACACATTTGAAAGTATTTGAAAGATCTGGATTTATTTTCTCCATACATTAAACATATACTGTATTTCTAAAGATCTCTTTGATCCCTTTGAGATCTCTTTTCAAGATTGAAAAGTCCTATCTTATCCTGTCATTCCTCTTAGCTCATTCTTCTAACTCTAGGGATTGAGACTTTCTTAACACAAGAGGTACTATATCAAACACAAGGAATATTATCAACTCCTTACTCTCCTCTGCATTGCCTGAGAAGCCTCTATTTTGCTGTGATCAGAATGGTAATTACAGAATATTTCTGGGTATGGCATGGCCAGAACATAGTACAGCTTACACAGGACTTCAGAGATTATTATCATTAGGTTATTATTAAGATTAGGTTATTATCAAAAACAATAATAAATTGCTCAATTCAATCCACGATTGTTTGTGAGACACTGCTGTGCGCAACTGGCTGCTGCGTTTCGTCCACAAAAATATATATATATATAGTCAATTCACTTTACAGTATATTCTGTGAAGTGCTTTCTTGATGTCTAGAAGGATTATTATTATTAGGTTATTACAGGAAGTTCAAGATCTTGATGATTTGTTTTTGATTATTGATTCTATTAGTTTTCAGGTCTATATTTGACAGGTACACCTCTGACACCCATCTTGAATATGGGAAGTGCATGTTATTGTTTCCAGCCGGCGTCTCCCCGGTATTCAACAATTCCTTCAAATTGATTGTCATGACTTCTCTTATCAC